GTGCAATCTGAAACATTTCTCAAACATTTCTCCTGCGGGTGTCCAAGCATCTTGCAGTGCTTGCAGTAGTATGATTTTTGTTTCATAATTTTTTGCCAATAACTACTATTGTGAGCAGATCCAAGCTAGACTTCTTCTACATCTGGTAGTGTAGTATCTCGTTCGATCAAAATCTTTGCAATAGAGGGCCTTGAGAAATGAACTGTAGGTAAATCTACTTGCAAATGTTTTTCAAGGATAGTCCCAATTGCATATAAGATAGATAGATCAAAGAAATGATGCTTGAGTTCAGGTAATGAGAACTGATAGGTGCAATTGGGGGTTCTTGATTGGGATCAAAATTAGGGGGTCCATTTGAGCAATTTCGTATGTTTGCCGTTAATTGTGATGAATTTTTTTGAGAAAATCCTCGTGTAATTATCTTTTGTTCTCAGCTGCATCATAACATGCCTTCCATCGAAATGGGCCACCTGCCAGTCTCCAACCAGTTTGAAATCTTCAAAAACATTCATGATGATCTCCATCTTAGGGCAACCTAATTAGAATTTTCCAACTAGTGTAAATTTATATTTTCCTGTACGAGTTGAAATTTCAGCGTTAGAAAAGAAAATTTGCTAGTTTGCCCGCATTTTTCTATACTTTTTTGATGAGATTGCAATCGTCATTTTCTGCAATAGAATCATGGTAAATCTGCGAGAATACCACACTATCTGCGAGGTGAAAAGAGGAGCTGCGTTTGTGAACCGCTGTAGCATAGGAAGGTTTGTAGAAGGGTTTGGCGGAGTTATCACCGGCGAGGGCGGCGGCGTAGGAAAGCCCTAAGGCCATTACCGCAGCCAGTGCCAACCCGTAGCACAATGAGAAGCTGCACGAGTGTCGAACGTCTCTGTCGCAGATGGCAAAGGTAGAGCCGAGCAGACCGGGCGACTCTGTCGCAAAGGAGACACACGAGCGGTCGAGTGGCTCCGGTGCGGAACGAGCGACAACCGTCTTGGACAAAGACGAGACGCAGCGCAGGCAGGTCGAGCGGCTCTGTCGCAGACGAGACGCAGGTAAGAAGACACAACACTTCCGCCAAACGAGACGCGAACTCAAATACAAGACGACACTAATGGAAGCATATAATGCTAGTAAATTCTGAAGCCGAAGGACGCTAGGGTTCGCCATGAGGCGAAACCCTTGCAGAGCACTTTTGGCTTATTCTCTTAATTGGAAATACATCATTTTTGAATGTGATAATCGCTCCTTGATTGATATTTTTGCTAAGGGTGCCGATACTCCTTGGGATATTCTTTATTATGTTAGAAGGATTAATTGTCTTATTTCCAATATGAATGTAGTTTGGAATTTTATTTATCCGGAGGGTAATCAACCTGCAAACTGACTTGCTTATTTGGGAGGTTCTAGTCAGTTTTGTAGAGTGGGAGCAGTTCCCCCTCCTCTCTATACTTTGTTGGTGGGGGATAATTTGGAAACTCCTTATATTCGTACTTATGCATTACCTTGAGGTTTGTTGGGTGGTCGAGTGGTTGGGTTCGACCTTTGATGTGTCATGGCTGAATTTCTCTCTTTGTTACTCCTCTTTGGGGGCTGCTCAGATGCGGATGATTGGGTTAATGCTTTTTCTTCTCGAGAAGTATGTGATGTTGAGCCTTTTACTTTTAGATTGGAGGGTTTGGAGGTTCCCTCTGATGAGTCATTTTTGGGAGGCCCAGGGCTCCCTTTTTAATGATGATTTTGTTGTTGGAGATGGGGGTATTTGCGGGTTACGGGCTGAGAGTTTACTCTGGGGGGGTTTTTCTTTTTCTTTCGGGTTGTCTTATACTTCCCGGTTCGTCTTTAGCAAGGAGGCCCAGGGCTCCTCTACTACTGGGGTGATGTCTGTGGGAAGGTGTTATATTGGGGGAAGGTTTGTTGGGGACTATAGTTTCTGGAGACTTCATGAGCTGCATTATTTTCACCTGGGGTCTATTTGTGAGCAATTTGGCTCTCATTTGGACGCCCATGACTCCTATTCTTTCTCTGTTTCCCTATACTTCTAGAGGCATTGTTACGATTGATTGGATTGCGTTTACTGTTTGGAAGCTGGAGGAAGGAGGACCACCTTTATATTTTCTTTAAAATTGGTTTTCACTTTATTTTTTATTTCTTCAGTCCTTTTAGGATGCAGGTTGAGGATTCGATCGTCTCAAGCTTTGGACTTTTTGGGAGAGTTGTTTTCGATTTCTTTGGATTGCGGCATGCCGGTTCTTTGGTCTGCTCGTGGGATTTTGGTCTGCTCGTGGGATTGCACCTGAAGATTTTTTCTGTACATCTCTTTTGGGTATACGGAAGATTTTTTCTGTACATCTC